CACTCTACTTTCTTTAAATTAAAAATTAAAAAATCAATTGTGGAGGCAAACAAAAATATTCAAAATTTCAACCAATTTTCAAAATTTATTTATTTATTTATTTATTTGAGAAATTTCAAGTCTACCTTGGAATCCACCTTTTAATTAAAGAGGAGTGATGGAAACCCCCTCCAATCACCACCCCCACCACTCCCCACACACGTGGCAGGTGGTGATTGGAGGACAAGGAAAACAAAAAAAGAAAAAGAAAAAGAAAATCCAACCAATAAGAAAAAGAGGGGGTCAAAGGGGATGTGAAAAAAAAAGAGGTCTTAAACATTTTTGTTAATTAAATTAGACTAAAAAAAGATAGCATACCCACATCATGGTATTCCCATCCAATTAAAATGATAAGAAGATTTTAGTGCCAACCTTTTAAAGTCATGACATGAAGATAGTGTGTGGTGCAAAAAGTACTGACTGAACTATTTTAAAAAAATGACATCAAAAAAAAAAAAACTATTTAAAAATGTTCACATCATGTCACGTTAGGATATAAACAAATAGAGTTGCACATTTAGTCGCACATACTACTTATTAATTCTCATAATTTTTTTGTCCATATGCATATCTTATATTCGCATAAATAATAAGGTCAGAATCATACATATGGCTACATAAACTTCATAGTCATGCTAAAACACTAATCATACTTCCACATGTATTCCATGTAAGTCATATTCCATATCAAAAGTAGCATAACACAAGTACATATAACTTTCATTCTCATAATCATATAAGATCATGAATCCATATCTTATCTTACATATTTGTATTTTATATACTTGAAATATAAATGCACACGTTTCTTACTCTTTTCTACATTTCTTACCCTTCCTATAGCTCAACTAGACACGTGTGTGGGTAAATCAACTTATGCTCTGATATCATTCTGTCACGATCTAAACCCGTCCCTATAAGTTTAGTATCGTAACCGGCCAGTAATCCGAGATTACTAAAGGCCTTCATGTGCAATCAACAATAATCGGGGCTAGCGGAAGCATTATACAAAAATACCAATGGTCCAACGAGCTGTGCATCTATATGAACAAATATGAACAAACACATACTGTCACGACCCAAACCTGCCCCTATGGGTTTATGTAGCTCGACTTTTCCGCGTCTCCTTTCGGAAGCTCAGAACAAGCTCTACAGTTCGGACTCCTGTAATTCTGAATTTAATCTCACAAATGCAATGTGAAATTGATAAACACCAAAGAGTCCAAATCCGAAAAATCTTTTGGAAAATCGATTTTGAATAAAAAATGTCAAAATTAGACTGCTTTGCCAGATACAGAGTTGCCACTTAAATATTTTATTTTGGAGAAATTTAGGAAACCCATGACTCGTGCCAAAGGTCACGTGTCCGTCATCACTAAGATTGTCTCAGAAACAAGGTAACAAGGTAAAGGGTTTTAATGAATGATTTCCATCACAGAGTTAGAAATCAGAGTTCATATCAGAAACAGGGTCTTATGCATATTCAGATTTCAAATCAGAAATAGATTCATATACATATTCATATTCAGATTTTACATAAGATCATATATGGTACATCTATTAGCTATCATATCAACTTGGTCCTAAGACCTACATGTATAGTCGGTACCGACGACCATAAAGGTCCTTATTTTGCGCGTAAGTAGCCATGGTATTGTTACCCCCAGGCGAAGGCCACATGAATATAGGCCTCGGTATTGTTATCCCCAAGCAAGGGCCACGTGAATATAAGCCACGGTATTGTTATCTCTAGGCGAGGGCCACATGAATGTAAGTCACAGTATTGTTACCCTCGGGCGAGGATCACGTGAATATAGACCTCGGTATTGTTATCCCTAGGTAAGGGCCACGTGAATATAGACCTCAGTATTGTTATCCCCGAGTAAGGGCCACGTGAACTAAGGATGCCACAAATACATTTCAAAAAAATGAACATTCATTCATGATTCATAAAATAACATTTCAGAAAACAGATCGTATCATATCAGTCAGAGAATACTTATAATTAATCATAACTTTACAGAGTTATTACTCACAGATAGTTGTAGAAGCAGATCAGACAAATTGGACAGATCAGATAAATTAGGAAAACAATAGCGCATGACCTACACAAATACATAACATATACACATTGAAACACAATATCAATTCCTTGATCAAACTTGACTTTTCTTGTCTTTTTCTATCTAAGTAGTCCGAAGTTCTACCACTCTTTATTCTTTCTTTAGTCACATGAATCGGGTTCTCATTTAACGTATTCTTTCATTACTAAATCATTATTTTCTAAATAAATCAATTTCTTACTTTTCTTAAACAATTACTATTAAGTTAATGACTTATTCTTTAATCAACTAATTTATATTGATTGTTAGCTTATTAGTCTTCATTGAGTCATAAATCATGTCTAGAATGCTTGGAAGTGAAAGAGAACGAAAATCGAAATATGAAACTACTTTTTAAAATTTTCGAAAACAGGACTCTTCGCTCGAACGCAACATTGGTCTCTCGAGCAGACCCCTTGGTCTGCAAAAATACTGGTTGCTTGCATTCTACGCTCGAGCGACAACTTCTTCGCTCGAGCAATGGTGACGAATTCTGAGTTTTCCATAATGTTGTTTAAACTTCAAAACACATTACCAAGGCTCCAAATTCACGCATGACTCACTCAAACATGCAAAAACATTCTCAATTACATATACTTAAAGTTAATTCCACTTATACTTCAAAATTCCATCCATGATTTTAATTCAAATTTAGACCTTGGCTTTCATGCTTAAAAATCGTCTTTCAATTCTTTCTTTGTTTCATGAAACTTAAAATTGAATCTATAAGGCCCTTTAAAAAATATTTGCATGTATAAAATTAAATCAAAATCAAACTAATATTTTACTCTCAAATACAAATTACAATATATTTCCATATTTGTCCGAATTTAAATTTAATTCATTTTCTTCATATCAAGCCCAATTTCAAACTCACAAATTCTAAAACATAAATTGATCTTCCAAAACTATTAAACACTCATGACAACTAAATTCAAATACTTTCTAAATTAATTTTCATAAATTTGAACATAGCTCCAATTCCTTATTTTCTTTTTAATTACATAAAATTGACTTCAAGCTCTTTCTATTTTTCTTCAAAACATGAATTTAAAGTTATAAACTTCTTAGAAAATCATTTGCATGCATGAAATATTTATCAAAATCCAACCAATTCTACATAATCAAGCTCAAACCATAATTAAAATATTGAATTGCTCTAATTTAGATTTTTATTAATTTTCCTCATATCAAATCCAAATTCAAACTCATAAAACATGAATTAAAATCTCAAAACCTTAAAATTCCATGATGCATGTAAGGTTGAGTTTCAAATTTATGAAGAATGACAAAATCAAACTCAAACTAACTACTTTTCAAACTTATTTCCTTAAGTCATAGATGTTCCAAAATATGTTTAATTTGAGTCAAACTCTTAAATTACATTACATGTATGTAGAAATGAGACCCAAATTCATGCAAGAAACTCAACATCAAACCAAAAATAATCAATTTCCATATTTATTTCCATAACCTTACACTCAACTAAAATTTTCTTCATCTTCTTGCTAATCCTTTTTAATTACATGATATTGGTTCCAATTTCATCTTTAATTCCAAGTGTAATGTGAAGATTCTACAAAAATTAAGTATAAATTTCATACCTTAAACTTTAATTTCAGATATTATGATTGATTTTCCTTTAGATCTTCTTCCTCTCTTTCAATTTTCTTGAGCTTTTCTTTCTCTTCCTTTCACTTTCCTTACTTTTTCCCTTGGCCTTTCTTTCTTGAGTTCAATTTTCTTTCCTTCTTTTTGTTTCCAGCAGACAACACATAGGACTTGTTTGGTTTGTTTTTGGGAGAGTTGTTTTTGAAAAAAATTTTAGGAAGAGGGTTTAGAATTTTTTTTAGTTTGTTTGGTTGTATATTTTGGGAGAGTTGTTTCTTTGGGAGTTTGGAATGATTTGATATTTTGGGAGAATTTGAGTAGAAAAAGTGATTGAGAAGGAGAGAGGAGAGAGAAAAAGTCATTGATTGATGTGTAAGAGTGAGAAAGTGATTTTGAAATTTTTTTGAGAAAAACTCAAACCAAACAATTTTTTAGAATTTTTTTTCTAAAACTCATCTCCCAAATGCAAACCAAACATAATCTCTCTCTCTCGGCTGTTCCTTCTCTCTCTTTTTCTTTACTTCTCCCAAATTTTGTTTTGAGCCAAATGAAGTTTTACTTCTTAGACTCACCAACACACACACACTTCTCAGCACACACACCCATATATATATATATATATAGATCTTCAAACTCTAAATCATTCTACAATTTAATTTATGGTTAAGATTAATTTAATTAAATAACACTTAGTCTTAATAAATCTCAATTAACACATAATTAAATTAATTACAACTAGTTATACACTCCACATAATTTAATTTGTCTAATTTGACTTCATTTGGAGCGCAATTAATTATATTAAAATTCATCATTCTGAATCAGATTTTTAATCAAACTCCCAAAAGGCTCAAAATATCAAATTAAACTTATTCCCATCCTCAATTTTGGTTTCTTAAATCATTTAAGCTTTCAATTTCTTCTCGGACTCAAAATTTCGTTAATAAATTACATATTCAAATTAGGCACATCATAAATGAATTTAATTCATAATCATCTTAATTCCCAATCTTCATAACTTAATCAACTCCAATTCAGATCCAATTAATCAAATCTCAATTTTATAAATCTGAATTGATTATTTAATTAAACTCCCATATGGTCCGAGACTCGAAATTAAAATAATTCAATTTACCATTTGTACTTTTTGGAACTATTTAGGCTTTCAATTTCTAATTCCAAAATAAATCCTCAATAAAATCATATATGAATCAATCTCCATAATTTTCATAAATCCCAGATTAAATTAGAATAATTGGCAATTAAAATTCAAATCTTTTTAATTAATTAAGTACTAATCATAATACATGATGGGGTTGTTACACATACACATATAAACGTTAATTTAACCACATATCGATACATATCATTTACACGCATCAAAAGTGTACATCAAGGTCAAAAGTTTGACAACGTACTTCCAGGCCTAGCCCCAACTCGGAGGCACTCAAAACAACTTGGTAGGCTTCAAAACGGTAGCTCGGCTAAAGACCTCTTCTAGACCTGCCCTCCAGATGCTCACCTATACATATATATAAAAACAGTGAGTTAAAACCTAGTAAATAACAACAAGGTAAATGGTTAATGAATGAAGTCCCAAATAATTAATTCAAACAGTTCAGGTCATCAGTGATTCTTGAATTAGAACTTTATAGCATATCTTATCAGGTCATGTAAATAGTCATACCGTTACTTGTGGATAGTCATGTCCGTACTTATAAACAGTTATGTCAGTACCTCCCTTAGCATAACAGTACGGTGGTTCCAGTACATCCATGTTAGAGATTTCTGTGCACATATAGCCATGGTATTTCTAGGCGAGGGCCACATGAACATAAGCTACGGTATTGTTACTCCCGAGCAAGGGCCACATGAACATAGGCTGCGATATTGTTACCCTCGAGTAAGGGCCATGTGAACATATAAATATAAACCATAGTATTGTTACCCTCGGGTAAGGGCCACGTGAACATAAGGAAGCCACATTACATTTCAGAAGAATAGACAATCATTCATTTATTTCAGGAAAGAACGTTCAACAAAGCATATCATGTCGATCAGAAAATACATATAAGTTGTTACTCACAGTGGCTTCCAGAAACAGTTGTGCCGTCCTCGACTCACGACCTATATAATCACAATGCGCATAGCATAACACATATCTTATCATTACGAGTAAGGGCCATGTGAACATATAAATATAAACCATGGTATTGTTACCCTCGGGTAAGGGCCACGTGAACATAAGGAAGCCACATTACATTTCAGAAGAATAGACAATCATTCATTTATTTCAGGAAAGAACGTTCAACAAAGCATATCATGTCGATTAGAAAATACATATAAGTTGTTACTCACAGTGGCTTCCAAAAACAGTTGTGCCGTCCTCGACTCACGACCTATAATCACAATGCGCATAGCATAACACATATCTTATCATTATACACATTCAAGTGGCCAACATGGCTTGCATTTCTTACATTAACTCTTATTCATTCAGTCGGTTCTATTCAATTATCCGTTACTCATTCGTTTGATTCTTTTAATTTCTATCATGCTTATAAGATGCTAATGAATGTAAATTTCACGTGAAAACCCTATAAATGAAGGCCTGGAAATCAGAAAATGGAAAGAAAACAAAACCAGAAATAGTGCCCTGTTTGGCCACACGTGCGGTGGCCTTGGCCGCATGAGCGGTGATTTTAGAATACAATTTTGGCCAAAAAGGGATTGGTTGCTCAAGCACTGGCCTAGGCCGCTCAAGCGGTCTGGGTATAGTTTCAGTCTAAAAATCTGCTTGGAGGGGAACTCTTTCTTTTGCAAAAATCAACTTTATTTTCATGCAATTCAAAGCTCAAAACTCTTCAAAACAAGTTGAATAAACAATTTCTAACATCAAATAAAAAAATTAGAACTTCATATCAAAACCCAATTGCCACGTAAAAGATCAAACTTAGACTTGAAATGTAAAATAATAAAATATGTATACTTTAGTCCCAATTCTCAAAATCTAGGGGTTTCTCTTTAAATCTCAAGAACCATGCAAGAGAGCAAGTGTATGCACAAGACTTTCATGAACTCATGCCTTGTATGTCAAGATCTTGAACTAACTCCTACAAATCTAGCCATGCATGTTCATATAGGTATTCCACCTCATACATCACAAAACCCCTTTTAAAGATGCATGATGCTTTCTTGATTAAGCTTAAATTCAAGAGGATAGGCATGGAGATGTCTCAAATTCAAGGAATTAGGAGTGAAGTCTTACTTTAGATGGATGATTAATGGAGGTCAAAGCTTTCCTCTTCCTCCTTCTTCTTCAAGCTCTCTCCTTCTTCTCTTCCTTGGTGTTCTCTAGAACTTTCTCTTTCTCTCTCTCTCTATAATTTTTGTTGGGTCTAAGTGGATAAGTATGAGCTCAAATGAGCTCATATCTCATATATACATATAATCGTATAAAAATGAAGCCAAACATAACTTAGTAAATCAGACGAAATCAATTTTCAATTATACTCCCCAAATGGTATTAAAAATTCCCATTAGTCTATTCATGAACTCAATTCCAGTTTCTGAGCCCATTAAGGTCGTCAATTTCAGGTCTGAAGTTGTAGCTCCAACAAATATTTTCCCAATTCAGACAGATAGTTCCAAATTAAATCATATTAACTCATAATTCCATTAAGATAATTGTGATAAGCATTTTGGGGCCGTTACACATCATGTATTGAGTTTCCATTTTATTTAATTTTATCCTCTCAAGTATGTTGTTTGTGTCTTATTAACAAAGATATTGATGGAATTTGAACATTTGAGTCAGTTGTCGTTTGGGTAGAGTTTTTTTAATTGATTTTTTTGAATTGAATTTTTTTTAGTTTGGGACTAAAAAGTTCGTTTAGGTTAATTTTTTTTAGTTTTTTTGAGTTTTATAAGAGAAAAAGTGAAATGATTATAATTTGGATATGACATTTTGTCTTGTTAACTTATTTAACATATTTTATCTTTTTATGTTTTTTTAGTTCCAAAAGCCTAGCCAAACGAAGCTAAATTTCTTTGATTGTTTCATTTTCTCACAAGTTCTCTTGACTCAGGTTAGTTAGATAATACAGAAAAGTGATGTGTTTGTTTAAATAGAGAGTCTTAAAAAGTAATGAAACTATAGTTTTTTGTACAATTCAAATTAACTTGTTAGTTAGGTTAACAATTTCTTGTAAAATATAAAGAAAAATTTATTTCTTTTACGAATTTTGACAAGGTTTATTTTATTTTCCTTCTTACTCATATTTTTTCTCTACAACTTCCTGCTATCAGTAATTACATTTTTTCCCATCATTTCCTTACAATTTTTTTTATCTATTCAAATATATGCAAGAAAATAAATTTTCATTTCTTTTTCTTATCTTTCACTTCACTTTCTACTATTTTTATTTTCTATCATACATTTCTTTCTAAACAAACAGAGTCTCCTTTCTAAATTAAATAGTCTAGAAAGTAAAAAATTTTGACATAATTTAAAAAAAAAAAATTACTACAAAAAATCAAATGACATATTTAGCTATTGCCAAATAGAGACTAATTTTTTATTTTTTTATTTTTTTTTAACATTCATTCATATTGATCTGGTACATGGCTATTTTAGATAATTATTATTTTTTATTTTTAATATCATTTCTCTCTCTCTCTAATGTCAAGTAGTAAACAAATTGAGCATTCATTCGGGATGTGATTTTTTGACTATTTTAACTTAGGTTAAAAAGTCTCATTTAGAATGAATTTTTTAACTTTTTTGACTTTTGTGAGAGATAAAATAAAATGATTATGATTTGAATGTGACATTTTATCTTATTAATTTTTTAGTCTATTTTATTTTTTTATAACTATTTTAACCCAAACCATTCAAGTCAAACATAGTTTGAATCAAATTAATAGGATATTTGAATTTAGTTCCAAAGATTTAACTAGTTTAAATTTGTTTCCATCTTTAACCAACTTTAATGGAGTTTATCACAAAGGCTTGGCTTATGAACTTTCATTTTTAGTTAAAAAGTCATTATAAATTGTCACATGACTCTTTTTATTTATTTCACATTTTTTCGTAAAAAATTAAAAAATTATTAAAATAATTTATTCTCAATATTTTTTTTATAATATAGATAAATTTATCAAGTTGAGTTTTAAAAAAATATAAATTAATGTGCTTTACCTTATTTATCTAATGAATTTATTTCAAACAAACTATTAACAAATTGAACACGAGTCAAACTCAAATAATTTTATTATTTTTACAACATTATCCATATCTTTTTATCACTTTTAATTCATTGTTTGAAATTTTGAATCACTATCATGCTTTTCAAAATTGAAGACTTATTTGTTTAGTTTTTGAGGCTTCAATTTGGGTATGATTTGGGTTTGGATAATATTCAACTTGGAGGCGATTCTCTCAACATGGTGTCTGCAATCCAGGAAAAAGCGGAAAATTTGTTTGGTTATGGTCATTTCGTGGGTGTGGCTCAGACACTCCTCTTGCAATTCCATTCCTCATCGGTTTCGCATGTTTATAGAGAAAGCAATTTTGTGGCTCATTGTTTAAGTAGGTTAGCCTTTGACTTTGATTCACCACGCGTTTGGATGGAGGGAAGTTCCTCCCTGTTCAATGGCATTGGTAGTTTCTGAGATTCCCTCTTCTTTGTAATTGCTTTTCTTATCTAAAAAAAAAATTTCATATATATATACACATTTAGTGATTTTTTAAAAAATATTTTAATCAATATATATATATATACTTTTTAATCAACTAATCTAAATACATTTAAAATATATAGAATTTGTGATTTTTTTTTAAAAAAAATGGTAAATTACACTCATCTCTCTTAAGGTTTAAACAAGATATATTAGCCCCACGTTTTTGACATAAAATTATAATCATTTCCTTTTTAATAAGGTTAAAATGATCGAAACTAATGCAGATAATAGGCATATACTAAAATAAATAAAGATAAATATACATTTTATAAAAAATAGATGACAACATATTTTTTTTTATTCGTATGATAACGAATTATTAATGAAACATCACTTAACTGTTATGTAAATTAAAACCCCAATAGTGGTTAGTGTAATTTTATCAAAAGTATGCGACTAAGAGGTTGTTTGGAGTGTTCTAAATAAGTGTACTTTTTGTCTTTTTAGAGTAAAAAATTGAGAAAAAAAATATGGATGTTTGGGTTAACTTTTTGATTTTTTATAGAAAAATGTATATTAAAAATTGTATAAATTAGTGTGTAGGGGAAAATTAAGATTGGGAGTTGTGAAGCTGTAATTTTTGACTTTTGGTGAATAGTGATAGCTTTTAACTTTTTGAGTAACTTTTTAACTTTTTGACTTTTTTCAACTTGCCAAACTTGACCTAATTATATATGTTTTTTAAAATCTCAGTGAATGTGAGTGTAATAAAAAATTCACTAATAGGAAAAATAAAAAAATTCTACACATGTATTTATTGATTTAAAAAAAATTACAAATATTTTATTTTAAAAATAAATTTAAATTTAAATTAAATATATTTTTTTTGAACAAAAATTAAATACATTTAAAAATAAAATTAAAAAAACACCAAAAATAAAAAACTTAAAACCACCAAATATATTGGACCTAATTTTCAAACAAATGATAATCAATTAGGATATTAAAGGTAACACTTTCTCATATCTTCTTTAATTATTAACAAATTATATCATTTACATATCATTGGTTTAGGAAGAGTGTTAGACTAAAATAACTCACTAAAAGACAAAATAAGTTAAAATAGTTAATAAGATAAAATATCACATCTAATACATAATCATTTCACTTTTTCTTTAATAATCATCAATTAATTAAAAAAAAGTCAATTAATTTTTTAAACATAACTATTTTAATGAGATCAAAATAATAATAATAAAAATAAATAACTAACAAAACAACCATCTTCTGCCAAAATCAGACAACGTTTGAGAACAGATTTTTTTAATAATTTTTTAATTTTTTAGTTAAAATATAATGTAAAAAAAATAGAATATTTATGATGACTTTTTAATTTTTTATAAAAAATGTGTAAAAAATTAAAAAATATCTTTAACTTTTTAATATAAATTATTAACTTTTGGAAAAATTATTTATAAATCCTATTAGGAAGACTTATGCTACATATGGTCCTACTAAAAAATTTATGTTCCCATAAGTCCTGTGGAAACCCTCAATATTAATTGTTAATATCATAAATAATAGTAAAATTATATATAAGAGATTGAATGTTATCATAGATCATATCTATATAAACGTAACGTAACGTGACACCTACATAAACGTAACGTGACACCTATAATCTATGGTAATATGCAATTTCCTAATTTCCTATAAGAAATTGCATGTTACCATAGATCATATCTACATCAACGTAACGTAACGTGACACCTACATAAACGTAACGTAACACATATGATCTGTGGTAACATTCTATTTCCTATATAGGAAATCGAGTGTTGTCATAGATCATATCTATATAAACGTAACGTAACGTGACACCTACATAAACGTAACGTGACACCTATGATCTATGGTAACATTAAATTTCCTATATAGATCATATTTATATGAAACGTAACGTGACACCAATATAAATCAGCAATATTTTTATATTTAATTTAAAAAAATAAAAACTCATTAAATTTGCAAAACGTAACGTGACACGTTACGTTACGTTTATGTAGGTGTCACGTTACGTTTATGTAGGTGTTACATTACGTTACGTTTATGTAGGTGTCACGTAAACGTAACGTTTATGTAGGTGTCACATTACATTACATTTATGTAGGTGTCACGTTACGTTACGTTTATGTAGGTATCACGTCACGTTACGTTTATGTAAGATTTTATAAAATACATTCCTATCTAAATAGAACTTAAGACTTTATAAGAAATTATACAAGATTTTATCTATAAGTATCTAAAAAAAAATTTATAAATAAATCTCCCTTAACTTTTTAATTTTTTTAATAATTTTTTTATTTTTTGACTTAAAAAATTCACTTGTCAAACCACGCCTCGCTGTCATTTTCCCAGACAAGAATGCACTGAAAAATTAAAGGGCAAATTACATATACACCCCTCCAGGTTTAGTTAAATTACAGATACCCCTGAAGTTTCGGAAATTACATCCCGCCCCCTGAGGTTTGTATTTTCATAACAATTTACCCCCTGAGGTTTATATTTCATAACAAATTACCCCCTAATTTCTTATGCAAATATAGCATTCAGGAGAGAATTCGTAATTTCTCAAACCTCAGGGGGTATCTGTAATTTTGTCAAACCTGGAGGGGTGTATATGTAATTTGCCCAAAATTAAATCAACGGCCGGAAGAAACAACACTACCTAATAACAGCCCCTGACGGATCATTCAAACCACAAAAAACGACTTCATGCCATAGATCCGTTTTACTCAAATCCACTTCTCTACCCACCCGACCCGAAATCCCCAACGACCACCACACCACACAACCACAAAACACACGCACACACTCATCCAAAAAACAAATAGAAAACCGTTTGACGCGAAATGGATCAAACCGAAGGAGAGTCCATAATACTCTCGGACCGAGTTCTGGTCAACGGCGCAGTCACGCCGGTGACACTCACCGCCAGCGGAAAACTCCGGTGGTCGGGGGGCGTCGGAATCCAGAGCTGCTTGGCGGTGGAGAAGGAGGTCCTCGGTTTTTGCACCGAAGGTTCCAGAATCAAGATCAGGACCGTCGTTGAGAGTGGAGATGGAATCTGCTGCTTCGGGAGCAGAGGAACTCCCGTGAGGAAGACCTTCGCGTTCGAGACTATGTCTGACGAGTTGCTTGGACTTTGGTGCCAAAAGCTCCGAGAGTACATCGATTCTCTAGGTAATATCATCGTTCTGTTCTTCAATCATTATGAATTTGAAATGTGTAATCGTAGTGTGCAATTAATGAATTAGGAATCAGATGTGTGGTGTATATGAATTAATGAATTTGAATTTTAAGCTCCTTAGTTTTTGATTTATTAGTCAAGAGTGCGATAAGATGCTTGTTTGGTTACTGAGAAACTGCAGTCCAACAAGAAGTGGAGGATTATTTGGATTTTTTGTTATTGTTAACTTTAGGGTTAGTTTGGACTTGAATGTGTGTGCATAGATTGTAAATTTGTTCTGTTTAGGCAAGCATGGTGTGCAATTAATGAATTAGGAATCAGATGTGTGGTGTATATGAATTAATGAATTTGAATTTTTAACTCCTGAGTTTTTGATTAATTAGTCAAGAGTGTTTGGTTACTGAGAACTGCAATCAAACAAGAACTGGCCATGAGTTTCTGAAACACTTCATTTGCTTTTCCACAATCAAATGCAGGATTATCTGGATTCTGTGTTATTGAATGACTTTAGGGCTAGTTTGGTTGCCCTAAAACTATAAATTTCAGCCAGTTTAAAATTTTTATTAATTATAAATCAAGCAACTAAAACATCTACGTAATTTATTTTATATAAATTTAACCTGAAAGCCTATTGTAAAATTGAGAGATTCATAATCTATGCTGTTTGACCCCTGTACAATTTTTTTATTCAACTCATTTTCAAATTCATAGATTTTGAGCCCTTCCATACTTAAAATATGATATGTAATTAATTTAGAATCTAAGACAATTTTCTCAAGTGTGTGTTTATATGTTTTTGTTTACATGGACTTGAATGTGCGTGCATAGATTATGAATTTGTTCTGTTTAGGTAATCATATATTCATTGTGTGCAATTAGTGAATTTTAAGCTTCTCTGTTTTTGATTAATTAGTCAAGAATGTAATTAATATGCTTGTTTGGTTACTGAGAAACTGAAGTCCAACAAGAACTGGAAATGAGTTTTTTTTCTGAAATACTTCATTTACTTTTCTAATAAATTTTCCACAATCAAATGCAGGATTATCTGGATTCTGTGTTATTGAATGACTTTAGGGCTAAAAATTAGTTAATTAGATGTGTTTGCTTTTATAAATCAAGCAACTAAAATGTTTACAGAATTTATTTTATATAAATATAACCTGAAAACCTAACGTAAAATTGAGAGACTCATAATCTATGCTGTTTGACCCCTATACAAATTTTTCATTCAACTCATTTTCAAATTCATAGATTGTGAATTTGTTAATTCAAGATCGAGTAATTCAAGCTGGGCATTCAATGTGCCCTTAAATGCATAGTCTAGTTTAAATTGTCTATCATTCTAGCTAGGGCTAGCTTGGTTGCCCGAAAATTGCAAATTTAGGTTGATTCAAAATTAGTTAATTAGATGTTTTTGTATGTAAAAATCAAGAAACCAAAACATTTAGGGCTCGTTTGATTAGGCAGATAGGATTGAGATTATTAATCCATGGGACTCACATTCCATTGTTTGGTTGCAAATATTATTATTCGGATTAGATTCCAATATCCATTCTATCTAATGAAATTGATCAATTTTTTAATCCTATGACAACAACCCAAAACATGCATATAATTAAGATTATATACTTCCATATCTATTGCAAAACAAACGTGGACAAGAGGAAATTATGTATCTCACTAATTCGGCTAGATAGCTATCCTATACTAATCTCAAGGATTGTTAATCTTGCTAATCAAACAGGCGCTTACGGAATTAACTTTATATTAATTTAATCTAAACGCCTAATGTAAAATTGAAAGGTTCAAAATCTATGCTGCTTGATGCCTATACAAATTTTTTATGAACTCATTTACAATTTCATAGATTTTGAATTTGTTAATTCAAGATCGAGTAATTCAATTTGGACATCCAAAGTGCCCTTAAATGCATAGTCTAGTTTTAAATTTGTCTATAATTCTAGCTATGGCAACAATTTTTCCTTTTTTTTGTTGTCATTCTCTAACAGGTCGGCCAAAGAAGCTATTTGTTTTTGTAAATCCATATGGGGGGAAGAAATCTGCATCTAAGGTATTCCTTGATGATGTGAAACCACTGCTAGAGGATGCTAATGTTGAATTTACAGTGCAAGGTCTGTAGTCTTTGATTTTGGGTGCTGTTTACAGTTTCTCACCATTCTGGGATGGTTATTCATGCTTGTTAATTTGAAATTTTGACTTTCAGAAACAAAATATCAGCTTCATGCAAAGGAAATTGCCCTAACATTGGATCTATCAAAGTATGATGGAATAATTTGTGTGAGCGGGGATGGAATCTTGGTTGAGGTTGGCTGCTTATGCTTAACTATATTGCATCATTCACAACTAAATTCAATGCACATTATTAGGTACTTAGGGGGCAACCTAGGGGAACAATGACCATCTCTAGAGTGATTTGTGATGGTTGGTTAATAAGATTTCATCAAGGATGGTCAATATGCTTTAAAAGGTGGACAACACTTTCCAAAGTTGAGATGGTACCAGTGAAGGGTAATTGATTGAATAGCCATTTCCAAATTACTCCAATTATGAATCCTGGTGAACTAATTAAGCTACAAAGTGACCTAAAAATCAGGACGCAATTCTAATGAATGACTGAGAGACTCCTATGGTAGTTCGGAGGTCTTGTTCTCTTAAGTTGCTTCCTTGCACTTCTGCAAGATTCTTAAAAAAAATAAATCCTTTGGCTCTTTTCATGAACATAAGCAACTGTCTAATAAATGTGTTAGTTGATTCTAGGAGAAATTTTGTGTTGGTGTTTTGTTATAATTATTACAGTAATGGATATGTTTTAAAAAAATAATGGATATGTTTTGGAAACATTTTTTTAATTTTAATGGAAATGCTTTGAAAATGTTTCATAAGCGACTAAAACATACAAAATACATAGAAACATTTGGAAACATAAATTGTTAAAACCTATCACCTACTTCACCCACTAAACCTAACCCACTACACCACTACCACCTCACCTACTCCACTAAACCTAACCCACTACACCACTACCACCTCACCTACTCCACTAAACCCACTACACCACTACCACCTCCACTTCACCTACTCCACCTACCACCTCCACTTTACCTACTCCATCTACCACCTACTACCACCTACTCTTCTATATATAGGAATCATTGTAGCATTCAATAATTCAACAATCAATAAACATCAATCAATAATACATAAAAATTTTTTTTCCTATGGTAGTTCGGAGGTCTTGTTCTCTTAAGTTGCTTCCTTGCACTTCTGCAAGATTCTTAAAAAAAATAAATCCTTTGGCTCTTTTCATGAACATAAGCAACTGTCTAATAAATGTGTTAGTTGATTCTAGGAGAAATTTTGTGTTGGTGTTTTGTTATAATTATTACAGTAATGGATATGTTTTAAAAAAATAATGGATATGTTTTGGAAACATTTTTTTAATTTTAATGGAAATGCTTTGAAAATGTTTCATAAGCGAATAAAACATACAAAATACATAGAAACATTTGGAAACATAAATTAAAATGTATATAAATATATAAAAGCCTAATAATTGATTAATTAAACATTAATATTTATATAGTCATTCATATAAAATGACAAGTGTAATATAATCAATGTTGCTATGGCAAAAAATTATTAAGTTTTGTCCAATAACTCAATTTTATTAAACACAAGTGCTAATGATTCTCAAAGTGTTTAAGATCCCAACAAAACAAGGTTTAAAATTACTTAGACAAGAGTAATAACAAGTGTCTCCATGCGTCTTGCTTTGCATTTTGTTTCAATTGTCGTGTTGGCATGTTTGTGTCGTGTGCTTGTGTTTCTCACTGGTGTTTCATTTCGTTACAGTCTCTTAAAAAATAAAATGTTTTGGCCGTTTTGATGGAAATAAAAGGAAATTTTGTCTGTTTGGTGGATGAATATATATATGCCATTTTGATTTGGTGACTTGCATTTTCCTTTCAAGATTAATCAAATCTGTGTTTTGTTGCTTGATGTGGTACATCTCTGGGACCTCCATTCTTTTTCTTACAAGCATTGCAAATTTAGTAGGTAGTAAATGGACTACTTGAGAGAGACGATTGGGATGCTGCAATAAAAATGCCTCTTGGAATAGTCCCTGCAGGTTTGTGTACCAAATTTATTGTTGTTGTAATACATTTTAAGTAAGCCTTGCTCACATTATATTCTGGGGTATGCTTACAAAAATAAAAATAAAAAATGCTCTGTTTTATGGTACTAGCTAGTAGCAAGCAATAGCACAGCAAGTGCATCAAAGTTTATCTAATGAATGGAACAATAGGTTCATATGATATTTTGCATTAAATGCTGTAAGCTTATCCCAACAATTGATTGGTGATCATATATAAATTTTAGTAAAGATCTCCACTTCAAGTGAAGCATGCCATCCTGTGTTACGGGCAAAATTCTCCTTACTTCTTCTATTGTTTTATGGAATTTGAAATCTGACATGATGTATTTTTGGGTGGAGGTACTGGAAATGGCATGGCAAAATCCCTTCTGGATTCAGTTGGTCATCCTTGTACAGCATTTAATGCTATTCTTGCCATTATTCGAGGTCGTTTATAGTCTCTGTTACTATTTTTTGTTTGAAAATATTAAATTACTCCTTTTGATTACAAATGGTATTTTGTTTTGATACAAGAATTACTTCATACTCCAATTACTGGCAGGGCATAAGTGTTCATTGGATGTAGCTACAATCTTGCAAGGGCAGACTACATTCTTTAGTGTCTTGATGCTTGCATGGGGTATGACAAAAATGCCATTCAATTTGATACTGGATTTTACATTTCAAGCTAGTTTATGTGCGCTTCCTTAAATCTTGTGTTTGGTATCATGGATAAGTTTATGACAAAGTCATACATTTAGAATATAATTGGCAGTTAGCTGTGGCTATATTTTCAGCATTGCTAACATAATCTTACTATATTCCAGGTCTGGTGGCAGATATCGACATTGAATCTGAGAAGTATAGATGGATGGGGAGTGCTCGTATAGATTTCTATGTGAGTTCTGGAAGATATCTCGTTTATTATGTTGTATGAAGTTTTACAGTGAAACTGTTTCAGAAGTATTATTTATACTTTCATTTGATGGGTATATATTCTTTGTTGTTTGGATGTTTCTAACCATAGGATCTGCTTTCATATATGCTGCCCTATATTCAGTTTACAGCCTGTTACACTTTTGTTTAAATTACAGATACTTTCCAAGAGAATCACTTTTTTTATACCATGTGGGACCCTTGTTTTGTCTATCTAATCTTTTGATTACAATTTCCTCCCATACATAGCATGCAAGTTGAATATCACATATATCAGAAGATGTTCAATACATACTGTAAAATTTAATGTATAAAGAGAAATAGAGAGAGAATAAATTGTATGTATTATTGATTGATATATTGATTGATATTATGCCTATTACAAATGGTTCCTTATATAGATGTAGGTGTAGTGGATGGTGGTAGTGGTGTAGTGGGTTAGGTTTAGTGGAGTAGGTGAGGTGGTAGTGGTGGTAGGTGATGGTAAATTCTAACACATACAAGCTACATTATTGGTAAAAACACACTCTATCTGATCGCAACTTATACATGGGATGATCATCATGTGCAATTGCCTTGATATTTGGTGAAATATAACTCTCTAGAAGTAAATTCTAAAATTGGTAGCCTGATTGTTTAAACTTTATTCTATCACAGTTTCTACTGTAGAAACATATTCCTGCATGAAGAGCTTTAAATAGCAGCTGTTTTACTAACACACTCAGCTATGTTATGCCTATCTTATTATTATTTGTATTGCAGCTGCTGCCGTGGCCCACCACTGTCGTTATTCGTGTTTAAAATGCTTCAATGCATATTATATTTGTATGACTAGTTTTACTATTACTCCATTTTAATGCAGGTGAGTCTTTTTAACCGTTGCCATCATTGTTGCCATTTGTTTTACTGATATTATTGTGTAACTGTTGGGTTTTTTGTTATCAGTAATGCTCTTACTATAACTTCTACTACTTGGCAAATATGATCAGTGATTCACTAATTAATGTTATGTTTCACACCAATCACAGTTTTTAAAGATTGTCTAGGTATAGTAATTTTCAACTTTTTATATGAAAAGAATTAAAAGATTAACAACCTAATTATTGTTTCCAAAATAATTTATGTTTACAAAATCGGATTATCAAAGCACTATTTTGGATTTTTAGTTGTCCTTTATCGGTTTTATACTCTTGTTGACTTCAAATTTTAAAGTAAGGTTTGCCCATGAATGTGATGCTTGTTCCACCCGAAGGAGCTGCTGTTTAACTATCAACAGCCACCTCTGCCAGTGCCTCTGGCTGGCTAGTCAATGCAACATTTTTATCCTCCCAGCCCACGCTTCCACCTGAAGGAACTGCTGTTTAACTATCAATCCCGTCTCTGTTCTATTAACTCATGGTATTTGTGTAGTAAAGTTTATTTATAACTTTTTGCATCATCATTAACAATTGGATTATCTTTATCATCATTATTTGTTCAGCATGCCTTAAGAGATTAGAATTTGACTATGTTGACAGTGCTATTGCTGTGTGAAATTCTTTGTAAAGTACTAAATACAAAAACAGCTTGTAAGGCGTGGAAATGCTGTTAAGAAAATGAATTTGGGAAGCTTTAGAACAGCAAGGTTATATTAAACTCATCCACTTATATTTTTTTCAGGCTGTTCAACGGATATTTCATCTTAGGGAGTACAATGGGAGTATTTCATTTGTGCCTGCTCCCGGCTTTGAAGCTCATGGAGAGCCAAGTGAACAGAAAGGTGAATTCATGGGCAAAGACATCTGCAATCCAAGCCATGATGAGTCTAGTAAGATTCAGAAGTGTGGCTACCAAGGTCCCCGTGATGACTCAGAGAACTTAAATTGGAGGAAGATTAATGGTCCATTTGTATCAGTCTGGCTCCATAACGTACCATGGGGTGCTGAAAACACCAAGGCAGCACCTGATGCCAAGGTTTTTTTTTTTTTTTCTTCTTCCTTTCTATTTTTTGTTGTTTTCGGTGTCTTCCTCTCTGTTGCTTTTCTTACTTTTTCAACCACCAATATTCAGTCTATGATTTTCATGCTGATCATCAGAAATTATAGTTGAAATGACCTGTGTTTATCTTTCTCTTTCTTTTTTTTAAAACAGGTCTTACCTGTGGTTTGAGATAAGTTGCTAATACCTTAGAGGTTGCAGCAGAAGTAGGTTCTAGGCTGTAAAATGCTGGAGCTGTCTGTTTACTATGAAATCTCTGGGAATACAGTATACACATATATATATATATATATATATTTCTATGATGTATGTTATCATTGTTCTAGCACATCATAAGTATGCATTTGGAACAAATTAACTGTGTATTCATCCAACAAAATAAAGAATAATATAGTGATGTAGCATATTCCAAATAGTGGGGAAATTTATGTGCTATTATTTGAGAAAATATACATTTGCCAAATACGCACTTAGAAATTATTCTATTGGTCATTGGAAGTCATTCTTCCATCAAGTTACTTCCTTGCTCACGGTTGCTAGTATTATTATTGCATGTTTGACATTTGGCACTAGTAGAATTCATTTTTTCATGAGGTTAATTGGCATCCATGCTCAAACTTGATGATTTTAATATCATTTGGACTTAGGGCTGGCTTGGATCTGTAGTTTTCTTTCATCTTGGACTACATTCTTCAGTGTAGTATTTGTAACAATTTTTGGCTGGAAAAATTGAGGAAAAAAAGATTGGTTGATTTGTGGTGAAACTGGCAATGAAACAAAATGTTACGATGTTTGTTTACCTTAACTCGATTGAGTTTGAGATTTGCAGAATGAGAAGTTTGGCTACTGTTGGTGCATTTTAAGATCATCAAACCTCTTTAATTAAGTCCCTCTTGAAGCTAAATGTATTGTGTGCACAATTATTGATCCTTGTGTTCAATGAGCTGCCTTAACTAGGACTTCATGTTCTTGCATCTGGATCTGAAAATGCTTACTCTTTATATGCCTTTGGCAGTCTCTTCTCTGCCATGAGTACTGAGGCCTAAGATTTCTATTAAACATTTCAAGATTTTCTTATTTGTGGGCATATTTGACTTCTGTATTCTTTTTGCTGGTTGATGTGCAGTTCTCAGATGGATATTTGGACTTGATTATCATTAGGAGTTGCCCAAAGTGTGCGTTGCTATCGTTGATGACTGAACTCAATAATGGAAATCATGTCAAATCACCACATGTCTTGTACCTAAAGGTGAGTTCATGGTATTAGTAATTGCCAATTTAGCCTGGTTGCTGTAAATATTATTTCCTTCATGTACCGTTAAATTTAATTTTTGAAAGAGTTCTCCACGATCTTTTAACTTGTGGAGGGGGAATTGCCATGGAAGTTCAGATATGGAAGGGCAGAGATCCTCATTTCCATGCTCACTCTGTGTAACTTCTGAACTGCCCCCCCTCTAAAAGTCTATCTACACCAAGGATCAAAATTTCGTTTCAGTTAGCTTGGAAATAGAAACGTTTCAGAAGCATAAATGAAATGAAAAAATAATTTGGAGACATTTGAAAATATTTGGAAACAAAAACTAAAACTTAAATAAATATACATTCTCAATAATTAAATATTGAACAGATTGATGTCTTTGAATATTAGAAGCTCATAAACAATGGTTTGAAGGCTTAGCTAGGAAAGGGATTTGTCATTGTAAGAAAAAAACACAAAAATTCTAGTAGGAGGGATAAATAAAGAAGAAAAAAATACCTTGAAATAACCATAAAAAAGAAAAAGAAGAAGGAATAAGTGAACTTATTTAGATTATTTGCTTAAAGGAAGTTAACTAATGGTGTTTGGTTACAATTTTAAATTATAACTTATTTGATTATTCAACTTGTTTGGCCAGTAAAAAGTGAAATTTTCTTAAGCAACAATTTGTAGCTTTTTAAACTTATTTGAAACCCTTAAATACGTGTGTACAAACGAGCCGTATCTCTTTTGTCTTGGTTATAATTTTTGAGAGACATTCTGGATATTTGTGACAAAAAAAAAGAAGAAAAGAAGCTATGCAACAGCTTATTTACCGAACATTTTAACTTTTTTCACACATTAAAAGTTGTACCAAATAGATTTATAATTTATTTTATTTCTTTTAAGCTAATAATTTAAAAAACTATAACCATAAAAGCTAACTTATAAGTGATACCAAACGGGCTGTTAATCTTCTCTTTTCTATCTTGCCTCTTCTTGTTTCTAGTTTATGAAATTCTCAAAAAAAAAATTAAGAAGATTTCCTTTATTCTTAAATCTTTCGTTTTGACAAGGGACAGCCAGAAATGATCAGTGTTAGATATTCCTAATAGGTATTGAAACAACTCATTATTTTGGTATGTATGGTAGTGCTTTGGTGCATTTCAGTGAAACATTGGAATCATTCCACTGCTGTTTCAATGGAAATGAAATGAAATTTTGCTCCTTGTATGCTGTTGTGCTCATTGTGATAGAAAAGAAAGAAGAGAGGAACTGGCTATTGAATTGAACTATGAACAATACAAGGATGGATGAGAAGCTATATATGGACATTACAATCAAATCATATTGTATTATAATCGTAACGCATCGTAATCACAATATACTACAGGTGAAAGCATTTGTTTTGGAGCCTGGTCCAAGAGTTGACGACGCAACAAAGGAAGGGATTATAGACTCTGATGGAGAGGTCTTGGCCAGAGGGAAAGGAACATACAATTCTGACCAGAAGGCCCTGATGGACTACAAGAAGCTCCAAATAACAGTGGATCAAGGTTTGGCTACTTTATTTACCCCTGTTTGAAATTTTATCATCATTTTTCCTCTATCCGGTTTTGTCGTTCCACAGAATGTTAACTTTAAAAAAAAGGGTTCTGGAACCAATGATAATTCTGTTTGTAAAGAGTCATGCATAGAGAAAACAGAAAAATAAAAGACACATCTTTTTTTTACTGTATCTGAAAAGTTATTTGTTAAACTGACTTTGTATCATTGCTACAAGTTTTCTGGGTTTTTTTGCCGCTTTATTTTCTAATTTGAACCGAGTTCACGGGCAGGGTGCAGATCTATTCACCGGATGGATTTCACAATCCCTTTTCACCTTCAATGTTAATCCACAAAACCACTGGCTAGGGGGGCCACAGCCCATGCTAAGATCAAAAGAGTTCCATTAGTTTGTAGTGTGTTGGGCTCTTGATTTGTAAATTGCAACAGGATGGCCCCTCCAAAAAAAAATAAAAGTATCAAGTTTTATATATTCCCCCCATATTTTAATGCTTTTTAAGCTTGATATGGTTATGGACCACCTAAATATTAAAGTGTTACAAAATTAGTAGTTTTTAGTTATAATCTATAGTTGTGTTTAGTTACAAGTTACTATGATTGTTTCTAGTAATGAATCTAGAGGTGTTTCGTTATGACAGATAAGAATAATGCTATATGCACCAATTGGTATGTCAATCAGTGTACTTAGAGATTTTTGGTATTTATAATTTGTATAACGAGTAAGATCATAATTTTGAAATGGCAATGTTATAATATATGTTAGTACATTAATTGGTATATCAATTAGTGCGAGTAGCACCACCAGACATATAAACAAGTTATGAATCAATTGAATAACTCATATTCATATATATATATATCAAATCTAACAGTTAGCAACAAAGATGTTTATGTTATGCACATTTTTGTAGGAGTGTGTACTATCTTCTCCTACCCTAATTAACATCGTGTGTTTCGTACAATATCAATATAATCATTTTTCTTATTTTTTGTTTCGTAAGTCTTAATATTGATTGAGAATTTTTAAAAAATATATCTTTTTAGTATAATTTAGATACAATACTTCAGCTATAGATGAAATAATTAAAACTTTGTTGTCAATTCCGAGTGTATACAGTTCGGTCCTATCTTACTATAATTCCTGCGTCCGCCACCGCACAAAACAAACACCGTATGTATGATCATTGGCAGCGCCACATTGAGGCCGGAGGGGACACGTGCTCCCTTGATTTTTATTTTTATTTTTATTTTTTGGTCAAAAATTACACTTTTAAATCTAGTTGAGAAATGTTTTTCCATTAATTCCTTTGAAATTCCAAGTATTCCCCCTTCTAAATCTTTATACCACATTTTTTCTTTTCAACAAAATCCCTACAATTTGTGTTTAATTTTGCTAAAATCTTCTCTTATAAATTTGTATTATCTCTCTATTCTCTCTCATGTTTTTCTTTTACCCCTCTCTCTCTTATTTTATTTTTATTTTTATGTGTATCTCTGTGTAATATTGTAATAGAGGGATGAGATGACATTTTAATTTGTGATGATTACTAAAGTAGAAAATTCATAAAAAAATATCAGTGGACTCAAGTAATAGTCTAACATATAAAGCTTTTACATCACGTTTATTTTCAATGGTCCTATCATCAAATGAAAATCAAATTCATAGTGATTGATCTTGAGATTATTTCAACTCGTGCTTGTGCTTGCATCCCAGTAAGGCATATCAAAAGCCACTTGTGTGTCGGGTTAGCGTTAGAATTAGGGCTTCTTGATTGAAAAAATTATATTTTTGAAAAAATTCTTTTTATCAAATGGTCAGAAAAATCTTTTTCGTTGTGTATAAAACCGTGTGCTTAATTAGCTTGTTGGTTTGATTTGTTTGATTTTGAAAATTATTTTGTTTATCAAATTTAATTACTCTTTTTTGGCTATTTAAAGAAAATCTTCTGTATTGCTTTACATAAACGAAAAATCTATTCTGAAAAGTGCATGTGTTTTTAATCTTTTTATTATGGTGAATTACACTGTCATTGTAATTTTTTCTTGTATCATCAATCATACTCTTTAAGTTTTTCCTAGTGTGTCAATTTAATTCAATTAGTAATACCTTTTGGCCTAGTAGTTGTGTGCAGCACAACTTTGTGGTGAGATTATGGTTCAACACTTGTAGAGAGAAGTTTGATACTTTCATGATTTTATTTCTCCTCTATTAAAGGGGTTGTATGTAATTGTTTTTTTTCTTCTCATATTTTGACCCCTTTTGAGCTATCTATTTTGTTGTTCAAAAATTAATTATTTGAACAAAAACTAAGTTCAATAGTTGATATCTAAAAAATTAATTTTTGTTCGTAGGTTAATTATCCGAACGAAAGAAATTGTGTAAACTAGAGTATTTTTGGTATACAAATAGAAGCTCTCAATTTATAATGGTATATTTCTTTTTAAATGGACTATTTTGTCATTCTCTGCCCACGGTTCAATCCTTGTTAGGAATTGATTTTTTTAGAATATATATATATATTTTTTTGTGGTCTTTTGTGAAATTTTTTAAACTTAAAAATGAAAAAATTTGATACAAATTTAAAATAAATAAAAAATTTAACATTTTTGTATGGGCATGTGCATGCGTTGAAAAGGACACACGAACACGGCATGCGATGCGACGCAGGCTTCTGAGTAGAGCGAGTAGGGGTGAGCACGGTCCGGATTCCGTTATTTACGGATCCTGAAAAATTAGAATCAATCCAATTCATTTAAATCGTGGAATCAATCCGAACCAATCCATTTAAACACGGATTGGATCGGTTTAGGACTACGGATTTACATAATTAAATAACAAAAAAATATATATAACACTTTAATTTCATAAAAATATAAATGTAGCACCATATTAGTTTCACAATAGCAACATGTCTTTTCATAATAGCGACAAACTATTTTACAATTTAAACAACTATAAGAAAATTAGTTCCACCATAAGTATTTAGACCATTATAAATTAACACTAAAAACTAGCAAACAAAAGTAATAAAAGAAGATACTATGGTGTCGTTTGGGAATGGCTCATTTGGGCTCTTTTGGCTCTTTGAGCCACAAAAGACAGAATAAGCTATTCGAGCCACAACAGACAAACATCACATCCAACCCATAATCATTATACTCTTCTCTCACAAAAAAAGTCAAAAAAGCTAAAAAGTCATTTCCAAACCAAGCTTTTGAGCCCAGGTTCAAATAGTTAAAAAATTCAAAAAGCCAAAAAACCAACCCACTTCCCAACGGAGGCTACGTAAGTTTAGGTTTGGATTTAAATTTTATATGAAATCAAAGAAGTTACTATGCAGGAGGGTGTATAATAAAAATATAGACTATTTGTATACGGTCCGGATCGGTTCCAATTCGGAACCGTGTGGTTCAATCCGGAACCAATCCGTGAATTACAGATTTTTAATTTTTTAATCCGGAACCGAACCACAGATTCAAAAAATAATCCAAACCTACTGGATTGGACTGGACTGGATCGGATTACGGATTTCACGGATTCCTTGCTCAGCCCTAAGAGCGAGACTCGGCGGGCCCACCTGAAAATACGAAATAGATAGGGGAAAATAACCCATCAGTGTAAATTTTTTTTTTTTTTCATGAATATGTAATTTTTTCTTAATATCTGTTTGGGTACATGTGAATTTTAAATTAATAATAATCCAAGTTCATTTATGAAAGTTTATTTATGAAATCCAAGATAGAGTCAAATAGTTTTATTACTATAGAGTTAAATAGTTTTATTACTATAGATACAATTAGTTATTTGAAATCACACTAAACAAATTCTCTTTTTAACTATTAGAATCATACTAAAAAGAGAAAATTAGTGATAAATTTAATCTAAAGAGGATGTAAGTCATTAGATTCCGTGAATATTTTTTATTGGTGAGAAATCAATGTTTTGTAAAATAGTTTGGTAAGAAATCCTACAAGACATTTTGTTTCTTATTTTACCCCTTCACTTTTTTTATATTTATTTGACTTTTCGTTAATTATCTGTTCAAATTTATATCTATTGGTTTAAATTTTTATTTATTTATTCAAATTTATATCTATTTGTTTAAATTTTTTGACTACCTGTTAAAAAATCTACCTGTTAAAAATTTGTTAAACTTAATTTTTCCTATATATTGAAATTTATCAAGCATATTTTTCCTTTTTCAACCTATTTGTTCAATTTTTTGAACAGATCATAGCCTTTTATATGTACAAATTTTAGTTGCAAAAATTTGAGTTTGCATAGATTAGATTTTTGGGATACAATCTATCTGTTGCAATATCAAGCCCCTCTCTGTTCAAATTTTGAATAGATCTATCTTATTATCTATTTAAAACAGATCTGTCTTTGTTTTTTTTTAGGGGAATTGACCAGTAAATCCCATTTTGTGGATTTATAATCCATAAGGTCCTGAATGTTTTCTTAGTGATTAGGTGGTCTCTTAATTTGTTTGTTGATAGTTTTGCCACTGCTAGTATTATTGATTGACAGATAATAAGATAGATCTATTCAAAATTTGAACAGATAGGGGCTTAATATTGCAACAGATAGATTGAAGTCGCTAAACAGATCTGTCTTTGTTTTTTTTATCATCATAAACAACAATAACACAAGAACAAAAAAAAAATAACAAAAATAAAAATTGAAGTCGCTAAACAGATATGTCAACAAAACCCTAATTTGCCAAGTGTTTACTGTCGATCAACCTCGATTTGGCCAACCACACGAATTGCTTGACGAAGTAATACAAACCCTCGTCTCTGTAAGCAATTACAGAGAGTAATATTTATTCTTTGGAGTCAAAACACGAGTTTCGCAGAGCATTCGTGTCTTGGACGAACTTGCCGAGCCTGAAGGCCTTGTGACTAAAGCCAACGCTCGATTCGAATCTCTTGAGTCGACGATTTAGAAGTAGGGTTTCGGGGAGAAAGGAGGAGGTGAGGATGATGCGTGCCTCGAGATTCGGCCGATTCTAACTTTTAGAAGCCTTAGATCTTGGCTCTATTGTTGGATTTGGAACTTGAAGACGAAGAAGTCGTCGAAGACGTTGTAAATTTCAATGGCGAGTGGATCGTACTCGAAATCGTGGGTTCTTTCGGTGACGCGATGGCATGCGATGGCCACGATTGGTTGGATTTTGATCAAACAAAATTTGAATTTGAATTTATGACCGTGTACATTACTAAAAATATATATTGTATTCGTCTCAAAATATTAGTCCCTTATTTTATTTTTTATTATTCC